CTGTAAATTAGTTGTCAATATTAATTATTATTTTATCTTTATTTCCATTTATGTTTGAGCCTATCTTCTATATAAGAAGGCCATGTATTTCTTATGATTAATATATTGGAATACAAATAATTTGATTCCATCAAAACTAAGTGTTGTGGAGAATATGTTTGGGCTATTGAAAAAAGTGATGCACAAAGTGTTGTGAACAAGATCTTTGGGGAAGAGCAGAGAAGCTGTAGTAAAGAAATTATAAGCGATGTGGAAATCTGGTGGGACCACATTGGCAGTGGACAAACAAAACAAATAAGAATTGGAGTAAAGCACTGATGGAGACATTACCAAAATGCCAACTGATACAATTATGGAGGAAAGTGCAGGTAGTGGGGAATCTAGCAAACTCAATGGATTAACACTAGTATTTGATTGGCAATTGAGACATATGTTTGTCCTTTCAACTAACATAAGATTACATGAACAAGTTATGCTTTACGTAATCTTACCAATGATAGGTTTTTTAATAAGGTTTGGTCTATTTAAGTTTAGTGCTTTTGTTGTGGCATTGTTGTGTAGAGCTTTTTGTAATTTTTAAGAGGACTTATCATTTTAGATTGAAGCATGTTTTTTCATGGTTGTTTGGCTTCTTTTGTTGGGTGGTGGTTTTTTTTAATGCCATTTTGTATCCTCCTCATTCTTCTCAACGAAAGCTTGATTTTTCACTAAGAAAAAAGACAAAAACAGAATTATACCAAGGATACATTTTCTCAGAAGGCATGCTAAGTTGCTAACCATTAGGTTCATGTTAAAAATCAGGAACAAAACGTGAAAAAATCATGTAAAATACATACAACAGCATAAGCAAAAAAGTTAAGCATTAGACAAAACAAACATGCAATCCTACAAGCTGTGTGGAACCACTTACCTTAGTCCTTTTATGCAATTGAATTTCTATTTGAAGTCTCTCAAATAATAATTACAATGTGATTTAGAATTCATTTAAATATCCTATTGAAATTACTAACGCATTTATATCATGTTTGTTCCTGAAACTGCTTTTACTGGCAAAATAGTTATATGCTCCTGGTTTATTTATTTTCAACAATTCAATTAAATGATTCAAATCTGAAATCATGTTTCTGGTATCCTATCGACCCTTGGAAAATCAATTTTTAAAATTGAACCATTTTCACAAATACAAAAAAATTTCCTAGTTAAAATTTGCCGGTTCTAAGGGTCACTTTTCGGTGGTCTTTTGCCTTTGGAAACATAATTTTTTATTTACAAAATATGGCTTTAAAATAGTTTGTAAAAATTCAATTTGTAAGTCCAACAATTGGATTTTCATGATAAAATGTTTCCAACCGGAAAACCACGTTTTAAAAACTTTTTGGGATAAAAAAAATAGGGTAGGAGCCATGGATCTTAAAGGTTTCTAGACTCTAAATCTTTGCTGTGAATCAAGCATAGAAGCCTTGAGCAAATTGACTATACTTAGATCTAGCCTTTGGAAATAATTTACTTACCATACTGAAATTAGCTTCCATCTTTCCTTGGCCATTTATTCATGCTAGTTGATGATTAAATACTGGAATTTTAACATTAAGCTTTGCTCTCACTAGGTATACGATGGAGCGGCCTCGGTTCACTGATCATCTCGAGGCGATCAAATTTATCTGCAAGGACTTCTGGTCTGAGCTCTTCAAAAAGCAGATAGACAACTTGAAAACAAACCATAGAGTAAGATCATGAGCCAATCCTAGGAGTAGAAACAGAGCCATATCTTTATCCTACATGAGCCTGGCCCAAATTTAGAGTATCGTTTTGACCATTTGCAGGGTACCTTTGTACTGCAAGATAATCGATTTCGCTGGCTTACACGCATGTCGGTAGATCCTTCTCAAAGTGAATCACAGGATACTTCTGCGGACGGTGAAAGCAAGGCAGCTCAGGCAACAAGCATGCATCTATATTTCCCATGCGGAATCATAAGGGGTGCTCTCTCAAATTTGGGAATTCCTTGTGCAGTTTCTGCTGATATTTCAAATCTTCCTGCTTGTAAGTGAAACAAACTCTTCAATCATGACTCCTGTACTTTCTTTCTTCTGGGCTGAGAATGACTTGTGTTATCAAACAGGTTCATTTGTTGTTCGTATAAAGGCTTGAGGAGAAGTGTATCAAAAAGTAGATTTCATCTCTGGGATATGAAGATTACTATGAAGATTATTTTTCAGAATTTAGAGATCGTAGAGATATGGTCAAGTTTCTTTATTGTTAAATTGAAAATGGTATCTTATACTCTTTGGGAGGAGGTGGCCATCTGTTTAGGAGGTTAAAATCCTACGAGTTTTTAGACAACTAGATGTTGTAGAGTCAGGAGGAACGGGAGATCCAAAGAGTAGTCACGACATTAGTATCAAAACTATCAAGTGGAAAGTCAAAGGTGACTTGTTGATAATCATGGACAAATTACCCCTTAGTGAGCTCTGGACTTGTTTGGCTTTGGGTTCATCTTATGACTCAATTTGATAAGGCTATATGATCATATGACATAAAGAGGACTCATGACATTATTTAGATTTGCCATTTTTTGTGGCTGATTCTGAGATAATTACGTGGCAATCTGTAATTGGTCCAAATTTACTCCTTTGCAAATGTCTACTTCCGAAATTTATGTGCAAGCATACCTATGGATGAAGCCTGAACGTATGCATTTTGATAAGACTGTGTAATCCAAATGTATGACACTTAGTCATGATGTTGAATTCCTTCCTCAGATCTAAATAATTTTGATCTACATTTTGACTTTGAAGTAGAAATGGAAAAAAACAAAAAAAAAAAAGTGGGGCTGGAACTTCGTGGGCGCCTCAATTGTAGGGTGCTCAAAAAATCCGATACTCAAAAACTTGAAAGGATTGGGTTGGGTTAAAAAATTTAAGACCGACCTGTTCTGTTCGGTTCGGTTCTCGATTTTAAGAACAAAATTTTCGATTCAACTCGAACCGAACCAGTGTATATATATATATATTAGGTTCTGTGTTTACGATTTCTTATGCTCTCTTTTGCCGCCTCTTTAGCCTCCACCTACAAGTTCTCAATCTCACCTCTCAAATCTGATCTCACCTCCAGGTTCTAATCACTCTTGTGTCTCTCTCAAATTTCGATCTCACCTCTCGGTCTCTCCCAATCTTATCTATCAATCTTGATCTCACCATCTCACACTCTTACGATTTATTTACACCGTTTGCCATTCCTGTTCGTTTCTCATTGCTGCTGTGTTTTATTGCTTAGTATTTCATTTAGTAGCT